CACCTCACCCCGTCCCATCCCACCTCACCCATCCCACCCATCTCACCCCATCCCACCCCACAGGGTCCCTGCTGTTCCCTGTGCCCCCCCCTCCCCAGCTGGCTCTCCCTGTCTCACCCCGTCCCCAGCAGCCCCTCATCCCCCAGGACCCTCCTGCTCCCGGGGAGCTCTCCCTGTTCCCCTCATCCCTGTCCCCCACCCTATATCCCGAGCTCCCTCAGCCAGCCCTGCTGCTCCTGGGGCTCCCCACGCTCCAGGCCCCCATCCCACCCCCCTTCCAGGGGCACCTGGGGCCACACACCCCTGGGAGGGCTCCGGGCCTTGTCCCACACCTCGTTCTGCAGAACGAGCCCCAAAACACCTCCAGCCTGAGAGAACCCCCCTCAGCTCCGCCTCTGTCCCCTGTCCTGTCCCACCCCTGCCCTTTGGATGGACCAGGATGGCACAACCATCGTCCCAGTGACCCCCTGCCCAAGGGTCACACCCCTCCCACCTTTAAAGGATTGTTAAACCCCCTGATTCCTGCTGCCATCCGGTCCTTCCCACGGAAACATCCTGCCAGTGCTCCCAAACTCCCCACCTTCCCTTTCATCCCACTTCCCTCGGGACTTCTGATGGAAGGCAAAGCAAATACAGATTGCTAGGAAATAAATCACTAGGAAATAAATTACTAAGAAATAAATTAATAGGAAATAAGTTTCTAGAAAATCTCGGTAGGTGGAATTTTTGTCCTAAAACTATTAATGACTCTGTGCTGTCTGGGCTAAATACCCTGAATCAAAGGACACCCTGAATATTTAACACTGGGGACAGCTCTGACTGGCAGATTTGACTGCCACTGAATTTGGATTCCCCCTCCAGAGATGGCAAGAGATGATTAAGGCCTGTGTACAGTGTGAGACAATGGAATCAGGAATGGGTTTTCCCTGTGTTTTAGAGGAATTCTGTCCACCAGACATACTTTCCACGGCGAAGAAAATGCAAATGTGTGTAAATGGCCCTAAGGCTGTAGCCCTTGGATATATTTTCTGCAGGAAATTAAAAGAATGGGCAACTTTCCCCCTTTGTTTTAATTATATTCAGACTTTTTTTTTTGTCTGTTCTCCCTGTGAGAAAATGTTTTGCTTTTTATTTGATATATTTGCTTTTCCCCTCAGGCTTCAAGGAGTGCTGGTAGCTTCCCCTGGGGGCTGAGCTGAGCATGGGAACTCTGATGGACACGGTGCCCTGTCACCCACCTCCTGCACCCTCTGTGAGTCCCCAGGGGCCCTTTCTGTGTGTCACCTCTGTTTTGGGGGCTTGCTGGGGAGTTTGGGCGGGGACACCGAGTGACACAAAGCCATTAAGTTGCATATTTGGGTTATTTGGATGAATTCCTGACTCGGCCTCACTTGCTTTTCTCTCCCCAACCAACATTTTGTCAGCGAGAGCTGAGCTGTGCAGGGCCAGGGGTTGGGGACGTGCTGGCAGTGGCCAGGAGATGGCAATGCCACCAACCAAGCTGCCACCCCGTGGGGGTGTTTCGAAGGTCACTCGCAGCAGGAACACCTCTTGTGAACGTGTCCCTTTGGCATCACTGCCCCGCGCCCTTCCTTTTGGAATTTCCCCGTTCCCCGGGGGAAACTCAGGGAGGATTGTGGAGCATCATTTCAGTGAGAGGCTGTTCCTTCTGCTTTTTGCAGAGGGAACACTCAAAGGCACTTTATGATGCCATAAAACTGAAAAAAAACCCAAACAAACCACGTTTTCTGCTACAAGAAGCTGAAAAATTTCAGAGTGAAACACAAAGGGGGAAATAGCATTTAATTTTCCAGAGTTATTTTCAGCACACATGTGCACCCAAGGTGTTCCCTTAATAATAATAATAATAAACAGGAGAATGGCTCAGCATGGCCTGCCCCTGTCCAGCCACCAGGAACAGCCTGCTTTCTATTCCCTCACATTCCCATTGTCAGACCCAGGCAGCTCTTTCCAAGATAAGAAACCCCACGCAGAAGCAAATCTCTGATGCCAAAACCTCTGTACCCGAGCCTGGCACACAGAAAGAGAACACTTTGCTGTGTTGCACATTTATTATGTAGCCCTGAAAAACAGATAATAAAAATATAAAATATATAATTGTGATAAATGTACTGTAAGAATATTATAAATATCAATATAGTAATATTATGAACAAATATAATGTAACAACTAAGTATATATATAATAAATTATTAGTCCA